TGATGTTTTCACAGAGTTTGAGTTCAAGTTCCTGGCAGCCTGCATCAAATATGACCCTCACACTGAGAATTTCAGCTGTGGTCAGAAACCCGTTTGTCTTAACAAATAAGTACATTTTATGATTTTAGATATAAAAACAAAAACAACCCCCCGCCCCTTTCTCCCAAACAGGGATCTAGACAGCAGTAAAAACATGTTTTCTAGCTAAAGAGAAAGGCTTGCAACCTCTTGTGTTGATTTCCCTGCTGTGTATCTTCGTGAGGGAAATTTCCCCTAACTTCCTGTCCAAGTGACAGGTATCTGACAGAAAAGGAAGTGAGGTGAATACCCCCCTTCCTTTCCTACTTTCCCAAAACAGGGACCCAGACAGCAATAAAAACATGTTTTATAGCCGAATAGAAAAGGCTTGCATCCTCTGTCTGGATTTTCCTGCTGTGTGCATCCGTCGAGGGAAATTTCCCCTAAATTCCTATCCAGGTGACAAATGTCAGACAGAGCAGGAAGAGGAGAGAAATCTCTGCAGAGGGCAGAGAGACAGCAGTAAAAACCTGACAAAGGTAATGACACCCCCCACCACCACCACCACCGCTGTATCCAAACTGCAGATAGGCTGCCCCCAAATTACGAAGATCAAATTCTTCTTTATATCTAGGGTACCTGGTAAAATCACTTGAACTTACCAGATCCGCATTCCCCTGCTAGTCAGTCCTCCCCTACTCTCCAGCTAATGGACTGTTCCTCAGAATCCTTACATATAATGCAGGGATATGGGTGCTGCTTGGTATTTGATGACATCAGCAGGCCTCCAACTACCAAGATGTTGAGGGGATAGAGGCTGCAGGTCTTAAAGCCTGGAGAGAGTTCATGGGAGCGGGGATCAGGTAATTAAGAGTCCTTTACCCAGGTACCCTAAACCTAAATGAGTATTTACCCCTTGCATAGCAGGGGAAGACCCACTGCAAGGGAAGTTTTCAGCTTTAAAAGAAAAGTTTTGGTTGGAGTTACTTAATGTGCTATCGAAATATCCGTTGTAGCTGGTGTTCCTTTTTTTTACCATTGACCACAAGCCGCTTATTACCTTGGAGCTGTCACATGCAGTTCAGTACCATATTCATTTATTGGAATATATACATCACAATACTATACACTGCAAGTCAGTCTTTACCCATCTTGTACCCCGGACTTTTTTTCTATAGAAGAACTAAATAGAAAATGACAGAAACGACATATGACGGATCTTCATCTGCCTCCTTATTATCAGGATATCTGCTGCTTCCACATCTCCTCAGGATAATAGTGAATACAGGACTGCGAACAATAAAAGCCATTTCAGCTACTTCTATTTCTCAAAAAGCTACCGATATAGCAATAATAATACAGTGGGCTGAACGTGACATTTGACTCATAAGAAACAGGAAGCCGCCACAACCATAGCGAGGTTTATTCAGCACTGAGACCTTTCCATTCCCTCAACTAAAGCTAAACTCCGGGAAAGATATACCTTACCTTTGTAGTGGGTTCCCTTCCTCAGTACAAGGGTTAGCTGCTGGATTGCCTAGGGCTGGGGTAGGCAACCTTGGCTCTCCAGCTGTGTTGAAACTACAAATCCCATCATGCTTCTGCCTCTGGAAGTCATGCATGTGGCTTGCAATGCCTTATGGGATTTGTAGTTTCAGCACAGCTGGAGAGCCAAGGTTGCCTACCCCTGGCCTAGGGGATAATGAGGCGATATACTTACCTATTTATCTGTGTCTACAGGTTTCCTTCTCTTCATGTGATCCGTCCCCTGAAGAAGTGTCGCCCCTCCCATGCCCAGCAGGTTGCAGCTCTCTGATGTCATCCTGTACCAGACAGGACCAGCAGTCCTACATTCTACAGGAGGACGCTATGGGCCCGACTACAATCCAGGCACATCAGACAGCAGCGGCAAGGAATAAGATAAATATTGTACCTTATTTATTATCTCCTAGGCAAAACACTTTATAAACAAAAATACCCATAAGGCCCCGTTCCCACTGTGCGATATGCAAATCGTGCGTTTGTCGCGCGATATCGCGTTCAAGCTTGCATTGAGCAAGCTTGAATCGTGGCTAAATCCGCTCCAAAAAGGGTCCTGCTGTAGACTTTACTTACCCGATCCCTTGTTCGCCTGACAGCCGGCACTCAACTTTTCCCTCTAACGCTCTGGGTCCCTTGGCATCCTCTTGTAAAAACGCAGTTCTATTGGCGCAGCATTGTACTTGATGACATCAGAGCACCCGAGACTGCTGGAGCGCCTTAGGGAAGAAGCTACAGGAGTTTACCAGAGCAACAAATTAGGCAAGTAACAGTCTTTTTTCCTGCTACCCTAGGCAAAGACCACCATTTAACCCTTACAGTACAGGGGGGTGCCTTACTGAAAGGGTATATGTCTGTTTCTTCTGCAGTTCAGCTTTAACCCTTGCAGTACAGGGGGTGCCTTACTCAAAGGGTATTAGTCTGCTTTCCTGGAGTTCAGCTTTAACCCTTGCAGTGCAGGGGGGGACTCACTACAAGAATAAAAGTTTTTTTCTTTCCCAGAGCTCAGCTTTAAAAAAGGTGTGAAACAGGCGCGATAATGATGAGACAAATCAAAACTACATTATAGTTTACAGAAAGTCAAAAACTAATTTTTTAAGTTTTGGATAAAGTAGACTTTATCCATCAGGTCTATATAGCGGTCTGTGCCTACCTGACAGTGGAGATACCCCCTCTTTTTGTCCAACTGACCACTGTAACCGGAAGAAGATGGGGAATACTACATTTTAGAGTAGTCACCAGAACAAGGAGGTGAAAGGAAGGGAAGTCTTCCAAAAATGTTCCAGTGACAAATGTCTACAATGGGCATTCCCCTCACTTTGTTGAGATTTTCTCTCACTTCTGTTAAGTCACCAGGACAGGAAGTGAAGGGAAATAAGAATGTTACCTTCATCGGTGAAATACCAAAAAGAAGAAGAAACATTTTTGGAGTGTAATCATCACTGGATAAAAAGGGCTGATCATGTTTCATATTAGGGATGCACCGATATTCCGGCGACCGAAATGTATAGGCCGAAAGTGCAGTTTTTTTGGCCGAAATAGGAGGCGCATCCATGCTTTCCCTCCTCCCCGCCGGGACACAGAGCAGCGCCCAGCGGGGAGCAGAGAAAGACTGTCACAGGAGGCCGAAAGGTGCGGGAGGAGAGCGCGGTGAGCGGCCAGCGTTTCTCCTCCCCGCACCGCTCAGCCTCCTGTGACAGATCAGGAGAGCGATGTGTAGGGGCGGAGACAGCTCTCAATGCCGTCACAGGAGGCCGGCTGGCAGTGCGGAGGAGGAGTCAGCTGTCAAATCAAGATCTCCTCTCAGCACCACTCACTCAGCCTCCTGTGACAGCCGATCCAGGAGATTGGGCACAATACTCAGTGATCTGTGATTGCGGAGTGTTTGTAAATAATTGAGGATATAGTATTTTTACTATATCCTCAATTATGAATGAATGGGAGTGATCTACATCCCCTCCTGTTCATTCTTGATTGTGGTTATAGTAAACATACTATCTCCACAAGTTATGAATGGACAGGAGCACTCAGTATAGAGGATTCCTGTTCATTTATAAACAGGAGATGCAGAAAAAGAGATTGAGGACTCTGTTCTCAATCTCTTTTTCTATGTTAAAAGGGAAATATCAGGGGTCTGTTTAGAACCCTAATATTTCCACAAAGCCCCTAAAAGTGAACTTAAAAAATATAGATCTATCTATATAGATATATATAAAAAGTTATAAAAAATAAAATTAAAATATTTGAACAAAATTTGAAAAAGTTAGAAAAAAAAATTTCAGTCTGACTTGTTTTTATTTCAATTTCCTTTTTGAAATGTTCATTTTGGTGCACCTCTATTTAATACATCAATAGAAATAAATTTCCAAGTTATTTAAAGCACCCCTTCATAAAAGAATAATGTCATTTTTGGAGGGAAAGGGTAGCAAGTACACTTTTCTGCCAGTGCTTGCTCCCCATTACTCCTGCCTTCCCTAAGTGAGGATGACATAGCCCTCGGCCTATCCCTCCTTGCAGTCTCCTTGGGATCACATCACACATTTGAGGACGCCTGTCTCCCTGCAGTCTGTAATCTCACGCATGCGCAGTAAAGGGTGGCTGTGAGTGATCAGAAAGTGACAGTCGAATGCCGAATGCAAGATGGCAGCACGGAAGATCAGAAGCCCCACAAAGAGGGAGACTGCGCTGGACCAGTTGGGCTGGTCAGTGTTTTTACATTAGTTGTAGCTGCTAAATTTTAGTTTTTTCCATAGGTGCTCCCTAATTATCAATGTAAATATACTTATACATCATTCACACCAGCCACACTGAGCATGCCATTGGTCGCACAGTACTGATGCACCAAGTGAGAGTTCATTCCGTTCCAACAGCCACAGTGTGGTATTGGTGCCGTGGATCACATCGAACCACACTGTTCTGAAATGATGTACTGCCCACCGTACTTTTTTCAGTGCACACCTCGGCAACATAGTGATGTGAACTTAGCTGATTGTAAACAAGGTAATTGGGACTGCGCTGGGAAAGGCTGCCAGCAGAGCTCCAACACATCTGGTGTGAACGGGCCCTCATACATGGCCTTGCGATAACAATGTGCATCTCTCACAGGGTTGTAATATACAAAACATAAAGTAAAGATCACAGGATAGCAAAGTCAATGGCCGTGATGGGTGAGCAATGCCCTGTCCCACTCACCTATAACACAAGCATGCCACTAGTCATATACATGACAGGTACACTGGTAGGCTCATGCAGTAATAACACAGAGGCCATTATGGAGGTAACTGGTAGGCTCATGTAGTAATAACACAGAGGCCATTATGGAGGTAACATATACCGTGATATAGCTGGGATGCTGCTTCCACATTACACTGGGCTTGTGCATTGTCATGGCCATCTAGGATGACAGTTCTGCATGTTCATAGAGAGAAGGAAGCGCCTCTTACCCGCACAGCTCCTTCGGTGCTTCTCCTGTGGACTGTCCGCTGCCGATTATCAGGAGCAGGGCCAGCACCACGGTTCCCCGGGATTTCATGCTGCGGCCGAATCTATTCTAGAGCACAACCCCACTGCACACCGACACAATCAGCGCAAGACAGCGTCATGTGATCATCACATGACAGCCCCGCCTACAGCCCGGCACGTGATCTGGGCCTATCTCACAGTCTCCCCCTTGTGTAGGACGATGATAACAGCTGTGGTGTAGTACAAGCTGGTAGTCGCTGGGGAACTTGACCCTGTCACTAATTAATAAAATAAGCACAGGAAAATCAAATATTTTGGACACTTGCAGGGTTTTTCCTTTCTATAATGGCTTGTGGACACTAGTGATGTGCGTGGGCTTTTGACTAAGCTCTCGCAAAACTATCAGTGACCCTCCTAGCCCAATCTGCGGCAGCTGGGACATTTATCCCAACTGTCTGTGACAAGAGAAAGATGGACTCCTTAACCAGTTGACATCCGCGGTGTTAAACCCCCTTCCCATCCAGGCCATTTTAGAGTATTCAGCGCTGCGGTACTTTGACTGACATTAACCGGGATTGCAGGTGAGGTGTCAGGGGGCCATAAAACCGGCGGCCGTGCAGCAGAGGGGGGGGGCGAAAAACAAGCACATATAGACGATCGGCGGGCTATGGAGCCACCGATCGTTTATATGTGAAACACCCGGTAACGGGTGTTTGCATTGGTCGGGTCTTTTCTGCCCGTGCGTGCCCACTAGGGGGCGCGCGCGAGCAGAAAAAAATTGCCGTCTGGAGACAGCAACTCGCCAATGCAGCAGTGCCGTCCGTCCGTTTTTTTACAACGGGCGGACGGCAAGTGGTTAAAGTAGATGTGGGCAAACTCCAGCCTTCCAGCTCTGGGGAAACTACAAATCCCATCATGCCTTTGTCTCTGGGCGCTGTGGCTGTGAGGAGCTTGCAATGCCTCATGGGATTTGTAGTTCCACAACAGCTGGAGTTTGCCCACCCATGTGCCTTAAAGTATATAAGCAGAGGACACACACTCTGCCATGCTTCCTTTGATGTGGATGACCAGGGGCGTCCCCACAATGAGGCAGCCTCAGGTGGTATCTCATTGAGGAGTCAGCAGGTGTGGGGGGAGGCAGCACAGGCAACTTACAGCACCCTCCCCGAAATTCCCTTTGGACGGCTGACAGCTTGGCAGCCCTCCACCTCCCGCCCTGCTGACAAGTCAGCCCCCTTCTCCTGTCCACCTCAAAAGGCAAAAAGGTAGGGTAGGGATGGTCCTGTGGATGGCAAATAGTGATTGGTTAGCCCCACATGTGCTTCCTTTCCACCTCCTATTTCCCTTTTATACTGACCTTCTAAAATAACAAATGCAATCGTTTAGAGGTTGGATGGAAGGTTGAGTGCAGTATAACACTTTTATACAAAAATATTATACATTTTTAATTGCAATCTATACATCGGACCAAACAAGGACATGTGAGGTGGAAAAGGGATTTGGTTTCCAATAAGGGACAGTTGGGAAGTATGCATTCAGTGCCCCTTTGTTATGTGTACTGCGGCCCTGGGAATGCTTCAGTTACAGATCATTGTGCTGGCTGTGGATGTGTCAGTGACAGTTTTGTGCGGGTTTGGATGAACATCCCTAGTTCACGCCACAATGCCGGTGGTATGTGCAGTGCGGAAAAATGTAGACATGCTGCATTATTCCACAGTGCACTGGATCGTACTGCTGTGCCGAGACCTGTATGGAGTGTCCACTTTGTATACTGACAATAAAGTTAGAAGAAAAAAAGTAAAGAATGTGAAAATAGCACATCACACCGCCTCCAGCCAGACCTTAGCACACTAGCCCGCAACCTAAATAAAAACCCAGCTTTTTAGTGTTCCGGTTTGTGTGAACGAGAACTAAATGATTATAAAAGACATAAAAACTTGAAAATGCATTCGTGTTTTAAGTGTGGGGAACGGGAAGATGTATACCCCACTGACTAGTATTGATGGCAGGGGTTTTTACCCTACGAACCAACAAAACTAGGGCATGGGGGGAATCTTTCCCACCGATCACCAAGGTTGAGGGGGGTTGTTCCCCACTGGAACCCAACACTTAGGGAAGGTTCATTGTTCCCCAATGATGCCAGGGCAGTCTTCCACTGATGATGAGGCATTTGTTCTTCTCACAGACCAACAACATTTTTCCCTCACCGACTCCAGGTAATTTGTTTCTACCATTGACCAATACAGAGGCATTTTTTTTCTTCCTATTGATGCCAGGACAATTCTTTCCCTCTGTAGCGCCCATCACCTTTTGTGATGTGACTACTATGCATTTAGTGATAGCCAAGGTTGTAGACAGCCTGGCTGGATTTGTAGTGGCGATTACATGGTTAATCCCAGGTGTCTAGCCTTGCCTGTACCCCTCTGGGCGGGGCGTTACTCTGTCATATTGAGGGACAGCCAATGGTGGACATTGTAATGTATGTACTGTACAGCAGCCAATCACTGGGCTTTTCTCAGCCAGTGTTGCATGCTGGGACAGACTACATATATTAGTGGGAGCTGCCATGTGCTCTCTCTCTCTCGCCTGGACCAGCCATTGATTAGGGCTGGGTCCTGTTCAGCCTGCCCCCCCATATTAGGCCGAGGCCTGGGGGTGGGCATAGGCATAAGTGAGGGAAGAGGTTTCCCTGAGGCATCCAACATGGAGGAGGCCTGAGAGATGGAAAGAGGAAAATAACCAGGACCAGTGCAGGCTCTTGAAGTGCCCTGGATCTATGTGGACTTCAGCGCAGGGTCGGTGTTTCTTTCCTGAATTGAGGATCTGCAGGGCTACTTGGACAAGGTCCGGTGAGTCTGGAGCTTCTGATGGTTACCCCTAGACACCTGGAACCCCTATACCCTGTCTCCCAAAGAAGATGTTCAATAACCTGTTTCCTTAGCATTCTAATACTGAAGTGGACATCAATTTGTGGGCACCAGAAGAGGGCGGTTAGTGCTAATGGGCGCAGCTGGAAATCAACCACTAGACCGACTAGATGTGGACCGGGCAAACAGCGTCTCCCTGTGGGGAGTTATCTAGGGTTGCCACCTTTTGTTCAAGCGAAACCCAAACACTAGCGTCACACACAGCAAATTTGTTTTTCTGGAGAATAAAGAGGAGAGGCAGCCAGGGGAGGGAGTAAGGAGACCAGCCATAGGTCGCGACGGAACAATGTGAAACTACGGGGGCTGCCGGAGGCTACCACGTCGGCAGGCCTCCGCCCTACAGTTACGGCCATCCTCAATACCATCCTAGACAAGGCCCCGAACTCCCCCCTGGAGATAGACCGAGTCCACCGCGTGGGAGGGCCTAGACCCGACGGAGACCTGAGGCCTAGGGACGTCCTCTGTCACGTGCATTTCTTTGCTGAAAAAGAGGCCATCATGCGCACGGAGTGGCAGAAGGGCCCCATCCCCTTTGATGGAGCGGACATTACCATCCTCCCGGACCTCTCCCGCCGCACGCTTCAGATGCAACAGACCCTACAACTCCTCCTCGCTGAGATTCGTCGGGCCGGAGGCCTCTATACCTGGGGATATCCCTTCAGCTTGAATGTGCGCCGCAATGGCCGGTCCTTCCTACTACGCCACCCGACCCAATTGGAAGATCTCTTCGCGTTTTTGGAGCAGTCACCGGTGGAGATACCGAACTGGCTGAGCCCCGACTTAGACACAGAACACCGACCTCTACCACAACGGCGCCACCGCCGCAGCACCTCTTGGACAAGGCCCAGGGCCTCCCGTCCTGCACCCACAGCTAACGAACCCTGATCCTCCCGGTCACTACACATCACCCCCTGCCGGTCTCAGATACTGCCGTTCTAAGCTGGACACCCTGACGATCACCACCGGAGAACACTTTATGCCCTAGTAGAACTTGCCCACTTGACATCACAGCTCATCCCCGGACTCTCCTGAGGAACCCTTACTAGCGAGACCCCCTCAGTCTCTCGCTGGATCCTGGCAATATACGCCCACCTTGAGGGCTCTCCTAGGAGGACATATTATGGGGTGTCCACTCCACCGTTACATTTTCTGTTGCAAATGTTACTGTTGTTATCAGAGTTTGTAATTTTTTAGTTTATTGTTTTACACTTAATTATGCCATGATTGATGCCTTTGTTGTTGACGTTGGGAACATGTTCGCATGTCCCTCCTCATGCGATTCCTGCTGGCTCGAGGGTAGCACCTCATAATGTTTGGTTTTACCCCTACTGTGTTTCCCGGTTCGCAGGTCGTACCACCACCTTCCCCCACATAGGCCCTCGGTACCACACCGGCCCTCGCGGACCCTTGACTCCCCTGTAGGACCTGTGGCGGTCCGACTGGCTGGTTCTCCAGCACTTTAGTTGCTGTCACCCGCAACCCCCTCAACTAAACTCCCGCACATCTCTTTTTCTTTCCCCTCCCCCCTTTTCCTACCCCCCACTCACCCACCTTTCTCATTTCCTCCTTCTTCCTCCCATTCCTCCCTCTACCACTCCCCCTTCCCCTCCTTTTTCAGTTTTCTTCTCCTTTCCAGTCTATACCCCCTATGGTCCTTGGAGATGCCCCCTCTTAAGGTCCTCTCCCTAAACGCCAGAGGGCTCAATGTTCCGGAAAAGCACACGATGCTTCTCCGAGACCTCCACCGCCAACGAATTGACGTGGCGCTATTCCAAGAGACCCACTTCCAGACTGACCATATACCCCGACTGGGTGACCGAAGATATCCCACCGTATACCAGGGCAGCTCGCCCGATAAACGCTCAAGAGGCGTTAGCATTGTTCTCTCTCATTCCCTCCCATGGTTGTTTCTAGATAACTATGCTGGGGAAGAAGGCCGGGTACTCTTTGTGAAAGGCACTATTGACTCCCAAACAGTTACTATAGCCAACGTATACCTGCCAAACCACGACCAAATCACCTTTCTCACACGAGTCCTGTCCCGTCTGGCTGACTTTCGTGAGGGGCTCCTCATTTTGGGAGGGGATTTTAACTTTGTCCTCGACCCTCGCCTGGACTCTTCCGCGTCCTCCTCCCTTCAGTA